CAGCTCCAAGGAGGTTCTTTGAGATGCTCCTCTGTCTTCCTAGCGCCCTCCTGAGTCCCTTCAATCTACTGACCACCAGCTTCTACTCTGTCTTCTTTACCATCTACCAGGGCTTGGTTTAGTCATCATGCCCAGACCCAAAGCACAGACATGTCATAAGAAAACTGTCACCCACTCGGGTCAGTGATAACTGGGTGATCATGACAGAGGGTCTCTGGGCATTTAGGGGAGGGGGCAAGGGGACAGGCCTGGGGCCGGGGAGAAGGTAGTGCGTTCATTTGAATAATGGGCAAAATCAAATTAATTCTACATTAAATAGTTGTGAATAAAGGGTTGGAGTCAGCAGTTTCAAACTTGTTTTCCTTAATTACTTTCCGTGTTTAATGTCATTAAGAAGATTAAAAATTCATTAACAAGAGTACTAAAGTGGCAAATCAGGAAAGCGATCACTCCAGGTTAAAAACTCAGCTGAGGCCGCACAGTGAGTCTCCTGCAGGGGGGCACCAGTGGGGGTGGGGTGGGGGGATGGGGACAGGCGCATATTTTCACACTTGCAAGGAGTCTCAACAGCAATAGCAACACACATGTGTAATAACTAGGCATGCACACATGCACACACCCACATGTGTTTTCTTCACCCACACCCAAGACTTCTGTGACTCTGAGAATTCCTTGTTGGAATCTATTGCTAATTAGGACCCCTGCTTGATAAGGCTCTTTCCTATGGAGAAACTGGCCACATCTTAGAATTTGCTTTCTGTTTTTCTGATCACCTGGCCTCTTCAGCTCTGCTGGCCTCCCCTCCCACCCAGAGGGCTCTGCCAGGGCAAACCTGATCAGTTTCCTGGGAGGAGCTGCTGTCTTTGAAGCTTAATTATCCCAGAAAAAGATCCCTTTTGTCTCTAGAGTTTTTGTCAGGTGGGGGCAAAGGGTAGGAGGGGGTCACATTTCCTTGGTGGGGAAGCAAAGAGACAAAGACCACCAGCTTATGGGAAGGTAGGCAGACAGGCATGGGGGAGTGGGACCCAGTGTGGTGTTCAGACTCTACTTGACCCAGAGCCCATCTCCTGAGCCCACACCCAACCACAATGTCCCCTCTCATCCTGCCTCTGCTCGCCACCTTATTGACAGACTCTCAACTGCCCAAACTTTGAGCTTCACTCCTCTCCACGCCAGGCGGGACCCTCCCTGAGTCAGGATGCTTTTCCTCCCACTGTCGTGGTCCCTCTGACAGCAGTTACATCTGTTTCTCTAACACAGTGTGGTGTGTGTGCGTGTGTGTGTGTTTACCTGCACAAGCGTGTGCGCACGCACATGCTTGAGCACATGAGTACATGCAAGTACCTGAGTTTCTGTGTATGTCTGGCTACGTGAAGAATGTAAAAACTCTCATGGAGAATGCTGTGTCTGTCATAGACAAATGCAGTGTGGGCATCCTGTGCCATGCCTCTGGAACAAGCCTTTATGACTCTGTAGACTGGACAGGAAGATCAAACTTTGAAGATCTGTTCCTAGGAACAAACTCTAGAGAAATGACCAGGTTTATAGAAAGATTTATATGAAAATGTTCAGACTTCTACTCCTTACAACAACAGTGTAGGGCAGGCAGGCTGGGGTGCAGTTCAGCTGGAGAATGTCTTCTTATGCAGGAGACCCTGGGTTCCATTGCTAGCACCCCAATGTCTATCAGCCAATGAATACATAAATAAAATGTGTCTTTATCCATACAGTGGAATACTATTGACCTATTCGGAGGAGTGAGTAACTTATTCGTGTTAAGCATAAGATTGAAACATAATGTCAAGGCTGAGGGTACAGCTCAGTGGTAGAGCACCTGTCTAGCACAAGGTCCTGGGGTTTGACCCCAGCACTGCAAGCAGAAGGAGAAAGAAAAGCTATTACATTAAGTGAGGGAAACCACACACACACACACACACACACACACACACACACACACACACACACACGTGCGAGTGAAGTGATTCCTTGTGTATAATGCTCATAATAAGCAATACACAGAGACAGGAAGTAGGTTAGTGGTTGCTTAGGGCTTGGGAGAGGGCTGGGGTTTAAGAGGGTAACTATAGTAGGAACTGTTGCATGATCCTGTAGATATGCTGAAAGCCACTGTTCTGTTCATTTTAAATAGGTAAACTGTATAGGACATGAACTATGCTCTGATAAAGCTGTAAATTTGTTTGTTCTGCTTTGTTCTGAGACAGGGTTGGCCTCATGCTCCAAGCTGGTTTAGAACTCCACACGTTGTCCTGGATGCCCATGAATTTGCAGTCTTCCCATCTCTGCTTCCTAAGTACTGGGATTATAGCTAAGTGCCACCATTCCTGACCTAAACAATCATTCTCTCTTTCTCTCTCTTTCTCTCTCTCTCTCTCTCTCTCTCTCTCTCTCTCTCTCTCTCTCTCTCTCTCCCTCCACAGGACCTCTCCTAGACTAAATGCTCTATCTCTGACAATGATCTATATCTTCAGCTCTTAAGACTATCTATCTGTCTGTCTGTCTGTCTATTTGTCTGGATGTCTGTCTTTGTAGGTGTCTCTGGGCACGCCCATGTCTCTGAAGGTCAGTCCTACATCTGTGACTTCATGGTCGTATGTTCCTGTGGAGTGGTATTTCTATCTGTATAACATGTCTTAGTGGACAGCCATGGGTTACTTCATGTATCATCAGCCGGTAAGTCTGGATTCATGTGCCTTCACCTCTAGGTCTCTGTATAACTATGTTTCCAAGCATTTGTGCCCAGGCCCATCAATGTTCTGGCTCCACACTGGTCGCTCCATGAAGGCCTCCATCTATTGGGGGGGGGGGCCCTGAGTCTGTCCATGGAAGTCTGTGTATCTAAGCCCTTCCTCCAGGCACCAGCCCCAGAAGGTGCCTGCCTCCCCACCCCCACCCCGACAACCATAGAAAGCCTCACAGTAAATTCATGGCTGCCTGGCTGGGAAACAGGCGGCTGCAATGGAAAGGAAGCGTGGATTTGCATATTGAATTAAAATTAAGAGCTAATTATGCAAATAAATTATGACATTTGGCAGGAGAATTTGCTTCAAGATCATTTATTACGTTCTTTTTATAACAGTGTGAGCATTTAACGGTCAAAGACAATATTTTAAGGGAAAATTAACGCAAGATTATTAACCTAAAAACAATTCCACATTAATGAGATGGTGAGCTGGTCCCCCCCACACACCTGGGCAGGTCTATGCCTAAGCTGGGAAGGCCTTTTTCTCCTCCCTCCCTTCCTTCCTCTAATCTGTAGGGGAATGGTGCTGGGAGGGGGCTTCGGAAGGCAGGAGAGCCTTTGGGACTGGTTTCTTCTTAGGTGGGGAGGTGATGTCTGAGCTGACCCCCTCCCCATGAAAAAGCCCCAGGCCACACAGAGGATGAGCCAGAGCTCCACTCAGTCGATGATGTCAAGTCTGAAAGAATGTGGACCCAGCCCCTGTCCTTAAAAGGACTCTTAGGTCAACTATCAACTGGGTAAAAGCTAAGAAGTAGGATGTAAACAGTGTGGTTATGCTCTGTCCTGCTCCCATCCCTCCTGTGGTGTTGAACCCCAAGTTCCCTGATGCCCCCCCCCCAGGTTCTGGTTGCCCCAGAGCTCTGAGCTCTCAGCTCTTCTGGGTCCCATTTTCTCTTAACTTTCTCTATTACCTTAATTAATCAACTTAGCTTTCCCTTTGGAAAGGAGCGGCAAGGAACAGGAAGACTCCATCTAGGTTTTCTTGGACCAGCCTCCCCCAAACCTAAATCACACCCAGCCATAGGAAATTGCGGCCAATGTTCTCGTGGACTTCACTCTTCTCCCTCTGATACAGTCTGAATGTTGACACTCCCCACCTCCAACTCACATTGGGTCCTAATACTTAAAGTGACCATATTGGCAGGTGGGGCCATTTGAAAGGGCTCGGTGCCCTTGTTGAAGAGATAGAACAGAGGGAACAAGGAAACATGCTCTCAAAAAGCAAAGACCAAGCAAGCCAGTGCTAGAAACTGACTTCCTGGCACCTTGATTTTGAACTTCCCAGCACCCAGAACAAAATGAGCAGCAAACTTCTATTGGCCATCAGCCAGGTATTTCTCATAGCACCTGAGTGAATTAAGACAGCCTGACAGCCTCCCTGTGCTGTGAGGGAGTGTGTGTGTGTGTGTGTGTGTGTGTGTGTGTGTGTGTGTGTGTGTGTTAAGATGTCTGTTCTGTCCAATCTATCCAATCGGTGTGCTAGCTCTGTGGTCTGCAGATTCTTGGGGCATGACTCTGTTTGCTTGGTGGACCTGTAGCAGGGAGCCCAAGGTCTTTCCCACTGGACCCTCTACTGCGAAAAGCCTTCACTTTTAGAATGTTCTGCCTACGATACAGGCATGCCCTGTGTCCCCTGTCCTTGAGTCCAGTATTTTTTCCTTACACTAGGCTGCAGCTTCAGGCTCAGTCTTTAGCTTAGGCTGTACAAAGCTCCTGAGGCAGGGGCCAGGTCTCACTGGGCCAGAGTGGAGCGGCAGAAAGGACTATGGGCTTATACTTAGTGAACAGCAGTCCTGGGGGCACATCCTTTCTCTGCCATTCACTGGCCGGTCACATCCTCCCGAGCCAGTGCCTGTTGATCTAGATCCCTTCCCACCCTTCTGTCTGCTTGGGCCTTGCAAGACTAGCCACATAGTCTCATCAACTAGCTTGTTTGAGACAGACCAAAGTGAGTCACGAGCAAAGTAAAATAGAAACTTCTCAGGTCCAGCTCCTCCAGTTGCTGCAGAAGGACACACAGCTGTCCACACCTCTCCATCTACACCTCTCCGTGTTGTTATTCTGGGTCCCATCACCTTTATCACTTTCGGATCTAGCTCCATCTCAGCTTCCCACTGTTCCCTGCCCCAGGGTACCACCCGGCACCACACCATTACTTGTGCTTTTCCTGGAAACACCTGTTTATACCCTCCGCAGACAACCCACCGGGGCACTTGTGAGGTCCTACAGAAGCCCTGGGGAACGTTCCCAGCACACCTTGCTTTCCACGCATGTGAAACAGGAATGATGTGTGCAATGAAAAGCCATTAGCACACACCCAGCAAGACCACACAGGTTCAAAGGCTTTCATTTATTTCCTCGCTGCCCTGGGATTGAACCCAGGGCCTGGGGCATGCTAGTCCAAAGCTCTATCACTGAGCCACACCCCTAGCCTGCCTTGTGATTTGTAGATCACAAGTCCAGATGCTTGTATCCAGGTAGAGACCAGAGCAGGGTGCTTGGCTGACAAGACCACCTCTGCTGAGAGGATTCTATTTGGCCTTAGAAAAGAACATTTCCTTTGGGGAGGATTCTTTTTCTTTTTTAATTTTTATTATATGTATGTATATATGTATGCAAGTATGTTCGTATGTGTGTGGCATGCTGCAGGACTCCTGTAGAGGTCAAGACGACAACTTTCAGTTCCATCATGTGGGTCCTGGAGGTTGAACTCAGGTTGTCAGGACTGGCAGCATGAGCCCACACCCTCTGAGGGATCTCTCAGCCCCTGTGGCCCGGTTAGCTCACAGACAACATGCAAGCGTTGAGCTCCTCAGTCAAGGACGGCTGCAGAAAACGATGGTTCTGTCTTCGTTTGCTGGTGAGAGAAGTCGAGGGACTTATCCAAGGTCACTTCACAGGTTCCCCGCCACCTGCCTGAGTCAAACCGGGGTACAGAAGCCTGGATGGAGCCCCACGTTTGGACGCTGGAGACCTGGTGAAGTAGACAGACTTGGCGACTTGAGCCAGGGTGTGGGTGAGCCCCTGATAGCGCTCTGCCGCCCAGGCAAGGGTGGACTAGCCTCTGGAGAGTGAGGGTGGGGTTATTAATAACGACACTAATAAGAGAGAGGAAACAAAGCCGGCGGGGCCTGAGCATTTTTTAAATAAAGAAATCTCCCTCATCTCGTGGTTAATTTAAAAGGTTTATTTCTTGAAATGAATCCTCTTCATCAAACCCCCGATCCTTGAAGATCGGAGGCGACCGCGAGTGCCGGTAATGAATTGATTTGTAACATGAGCGACACGCGCCCTCCCGCCCGTGCCCACTGCAGGCCCTTAATCTGCGGCGTTTAAGGGGAAGCCAGCAGCTCCATCTTTCTCTCTCAGCACCTAGCAGAGCAGCCTCGGGACAAAGCCGGGGGCCTGGCCCAGAGACACCCCCACCTGGGGAGTGTCTCCCTAGCAGGCCAGTCTTCCAGCCTCCAGGGTCTCTTCCCGTGCTAACCTGAGTCCTCTACAGCCCTGCTCACATGTGCACAGCCACCCTGCCCATAATCCACCAGAATGTATACTAACCCATACTGCCCGAGGTCCCATAAGTCTCCCTCAGTCATGGAGCTTGGAAACTGAGTTCCACAAGCCTCCCACACAATTAACAGAGGGCCTCCAGTCACAGATATGCATCCAAGTTTGGGGTTCAGGCCCACAGTCCCTATAGATAGGACAGTTAAACGACATACTTAGTTATACCTTTTTGAACCACAGCTGGCTTTAAATCCAGGCTGAGTTCCAACTTCCTCCCCTTTAGATCAGAGACATATGAAGACTAGCAGGTAATATTAAGAGAGAGAGAGAGAGAGAGAGAGAGAGAGAGAGAACACAGGTACCTGCAGAGGCCAGAAGAGGGTGTCAGCTCCCCTGTGGTTGTGAACCCTGTGACATGGGTAACAGGAACCAAGCTCCAGTCTTCTGCAGGAGCAGCAGGTGCTCTTCAGCATTGGGTCATCTCTCAGCCCTCCCAAAGCTCAGCTGAAACTGCTAGCATTGTATGGGCAAAGACCTTCATGAGTGAGATACTGCATGCTGAGTGTTTAATTACTCTGACCTGGAGTAAGTGCTTCATATACATGCTAGGTAATGCCATGATTGTCAGCCTCTACTATATTCTATGCATTCTTAAATAAATGTGCGTTTAACTCTGCCTAGCGTGTAGCCGGGGCTGATACACTAGAAATTATGAAAAGAGGGAGAAGGACAAATGACCACCGGGTGAGTTCCCATAGTGTGCTGAGCGCCACGCTAACAGACACAATGTCATTCTTTAAATCCTGCCAACACTATGGAGACTGGCCTAACGTATATTGATTTGCAAGTGAAACAGAGACACAGAGAGGTCATGAGGTTTGTCTAAAGTCACACAGCTGGTAAGTGAAAGAGGGATTTGAACCCGGATAGTCTGACTCCAGATTCTGTTTAGGAGGGCAATGCTGAAAATGGACACACACACACACACACACACACACACACACACACACACACACACACTCATATACATGTCTGAATAGCCTTGCCTTTAAGAGGAGCCCGTAAGTTTATGGGGTGGTGTCATTGCCTAATCCTTTCACAGTCAGAAGTCAGAAGCTTGGAGACGAGTCAGTGCCAGCCCTGGGTGCCCCTCGGGCCTGTCAACTGCACCAGTTTGAATAAAGCCTGCAGCCCGGCCAAGAAAATCCTGTCTTTCAGTCTCGGCAGCTCCTAACTGACAACCCTAACTCTAAATGAGCTAAAGACCATCTGTGTGATCTTTCACACAAATCTGGGCTTTCCAGACTGAAATCCCCTCAAAGCAGGTGAGCCCCACCCCAAAATACTCCCCCCACCCCTGCATGTGTCCAGGGGTGAAAGCCTTTCTGGTGCCTTCCCCTGTTCTGCTCCGGCCACTGTCATTTTGTATGCCACCACTTGAGGGCCAAGAGGGCCACAGTGCAGCTTCTTGTCCTCACAGTAGTGGGTCACCAAGAGACCCAGCTTAGTTACAAGCTGGACCCAGGACAGGGGAGCCACATTCAAGCCCAGAACTTCCAAATGGTCTCAAGGCTAGCACTCGTCTGGTTCCACCTCTCCCGGATTCTTGATGGCTTTATCTTTTGGTCCTCATGCCAGTGGCCTCCCCTACCCCATCCCCAGGGAGACCCACCGTCCCCATTCCCAGGTAGCCCTCCAGACCTTAGTCTTGCCGAATAGTTCCTAAAAGTGACACACCCCCATGCCCTACCAGAGAAGTTCCGCACGCACCCACAGGCGTCTTCCAACTCCCCACACTGCTCAGCATCCGAGTCTTCCGAAAGGCAGTGCCCCGTGGGCCCAGGGCAGGGGCAAGGGCACACGCCCCCCTCCTGTAACTTCCTAGAATAAAATCATTTTTTATAACTGTTGGAATCCTGATTGAGCTGTCAAAAGTACATGAAAGCGGCCACATAAATGGTAAACTATCCATCAGTCACAGGCCTGTTTGTTCTGAGACAGTATCAACATCACACATTTTTCTTCAAGATAGAAAGTAATACCTACCCTAGCAGATCCAGGTAATTCTGCCCCGACTCCAAAAAGAAACGTATTAGTCACACCATTCTTTTGTTCCCCAAATCTTTTTTTATTACTTGATGCGCCAGTCTTGCCTTCCTTAAAGCGTCAGCAGAGCTCTGCAACTTTCTCTCCATCTGTTTACACCCAAATTCGGGATGCACACACTCCACAAAAGAAAAGAAGGGCTGAGGGGATAGACAAAGGAAATCACTTTTGATGATATGAACTAATCTGGAGTCCAACATAGACCCTGACCCACTATGTGAGGGCCAGTCAGAGGGGACCAGCTCCTCAATTGTCTTCTCAGGATGTGCCCATAGGAGCCTAGTGTGGTAAGAATGGGGAGAGGTGGCGTCTTCCCTTTGGGGTGAGCCCTCCTCTCCCTGCATTCCTGGACGGATTGTTCTTTACAGGCACTTGGATCAAGGAACACGTCTCCGGAACTTGGAGCTGAAAGAAGCCACATTCCTTCCCTTTTCCAGTCTCCAATCTCTCAGAGTTGGTTCTTCAAAAACTTGATCCAAGCCGGGCGGTGGTGGCGCACGCCTTTAATCCCAGCACTCGGGAGGCAGAGCCAGGCGGATCTCTGTGAGTTCGAGGCCAGCCTGGTCTCCAAAGCGAGTTCCAGGAAAGGCGCAAAGCTACACAGAGAAACCCTGTCTCGAAAAACCCAAAAAAAAAAAAAAAAAAAACTTGATCCAGCATTAGGCATGGTGTCTCAGGCTTTCAATTCTGGCTCTTGGCAGGCAGAAGCAGGGCGATCTCTGTGTGTTCAAGGTCAGCCTGGTCTGCATAGCAAGTTCCAGGCCAGCCAGGGCTGCACAGTGAAATCCTGTCTCAAAACAAAACAAAAATAATTTGACCCAGGTTGACCTAGCTGCCAATGTTAGATGGGTAGAAATGGATGGATGGAGAGATGAATGGGCATAGACAGACAGACAGACAGAGAGATACATACATGAAAACATTCTTCTGTATGTTATCCCACACATACATTCAGTGCAGCTTGGGAGTTTGGAGTGGTTCTGTGTTTACTGAGACCAACTCGCCCCAGATGTGGCTCCAGATGCCTGTATTAACCTCTCAGCATTGCCAGCAGTGAAGCAAGAGTAACATGGTATTATATGAGTTTTTTTTTTTGTTGTTGTTGTTGTTTTGGGCTTTTTGTTTGTTTGTTTTGCTTTTTGTTTTTAGTTTTGTCAACTCAAACTAGATTCATCTGGGAGAGGAGCCTCAATTGAGAAAATGCCTCTATAAGACTGACCTGTTGGGCATTTTCTTGACTAATGATTGATAGGGAAGAACCCAATCTGCTGTGGGTAGTGCCACCCTTGAACAGGTGGGCTGGAATTGTATAAGAAAGCAGGCTAATCAAACCATGGAGAGCAAGCCAGTGGGCAGCACCCCTCCAGGTCATCTGTTTCAGTCCCTGCCTCCTGGTTCCTGTCTTGAGATTGAGTCCCTGCAGTGACTTCTCTCGGTGATGGAGTGTGACCTGAGAGCTGTAAGATGAAATAAACTGTCTCCTTGACAAGTTGCTTTTGGTCATGGTATTTTACCACAGCAGTAGAAACCTTAACTAAGACACATGGGATATGAACTGTGGGACTGTGACAAGTGGATGGCAGCCTTGGCTAACCCTGCCTGGCCTGTGTTGAGCACTGATAGGTGATTACTGTTATCATTTATTATGCACATCTTGCACACACTTGTAAGCACTTACACAGCACAGCACCTCTTATAAGCATAGTGAGTGCACACAATATGCAACGCCCTGCTACTGATATTAGCAGATCCAAGATGTGGAGAGGTGCAGAGAGGTGACTAGGGTCACACAGAGGTTACCTTCAGCTCACCACTTCCTACCTGTACTTCTTTTCTTTATCAGTGTTGGGTTAGAACCCAGGGTCTCAGGCCTGCCATGAAATGCTCTCCCACGGGCTACACCGCCAGTTCATGCTGAGTGAGTTTGAGCAGGTGATTTAATCTTAGTTTTCCTACCTATTAAATAGGAACAATAACATTAACAGTTTCTCCTTAGGAAGAGTGAGTTGGTTGAATATTTATAAATTGCTAAAAACATGATGAGACCCACAGCAAACAAAATGAGTGTGAGAAACAAACCACACAGTCTGAAAAGCTAAAACCAAGCTCCTGAAGTTGGTGGCATCATGCTTTCATGGGTATGATCCTGTTAGAATTATGTGACCCTAGAGTCGGGATTATTATCACCCCCTTTAAAAAAAATAAATCTTTTAAAATAAGCATTTATTTCATTTTTAATCTTTGTCCATATTTATTTATTTTTATGAGTGTGAGTGTTCTGTCTGCCTGTGCGGATGTGCACCGCTTGTTGCCCAATGCCCAAGGAGGTCAGAAGATGGAGTCAAATTTCTTTTGTGTTGTTGTTGGTTTTTTCAAGGCAGGGTCTCAATAACGCTGGATGTCCTGGACCTCACTCTGTAGACCAGGTTGCCCTCAAACTCACAGAGATCCACCTGCCTCTGCCTCCTGAGTACCACTAAACCCAGAGGGGTCAAATCTCTTGGAACTGGAATGATGGATTGTAGGCAGTTTTTTTTGTCAGAATTGCCAGCTCCTCGAATAACCACAGTGAAACTTGTTAATTATAAATGTTTGGCCAATAGCTTATGCTTGTTTTTTAACTAGCTCTTATAACTTAAATTAACCCATTGCTATTCATCTCTGTGCTGCCCCAAGGCTCGTTTACCTCATGTACATGCTTCCCATCCTGCTCACTCTACGTCTCATAGCATCTCCTCTGATTCTGCCCTTCTTATCTTCAGCATTCTCTCTGCCCTGAAAATCCTGCCTAGTCATTGGCCAACCAGCATTTTATTAACAATGAGAGCAACACATCTTCACAGTGTACAGAGGATTATCCAACAGCAATGAATGTTGTGAGCCGCCCATGGTTGCCACTGAGTCCCCGGTCCTCTGCAAGAACAAGTGTTCTTAACTGCTGAGCCATCTCTCCAGACCCATTATTTTCCATATATATATATATATATATATATATATATATATATATATATATATATATATATATATATATATATATATATATTTCCTATATGCATGCAGGTGCACATGGAGACCAGAAGAGGGCATCAGATTCCCTAGAACCAGAGCTCCAGGCAATTGTGAGCATCCCACTTGGGTTCTGGGAACCAAACTCAGGTCCTCTGCAAGAACAGAAAGTTTTCTTAGCAATTGAACCAACTCTCCAGCCCCTGTCATCCCTTTTCCATACAAGGAAACCAAGGCTGAAAGAAGCTGATTGGTGTCAAACCTGGCAGCAAGTATCCCAGGCCCTTCATTCTAGTGCCTTTTTCACTAAATGTCAGACACCCTGTGAGTGTGACTATGACTGTGATGCCAAGGAACTTTTCTCTGCCTTTGTTTTGGGGCTCCCCAGGCTTCCTCTACCTCTGAGGGTGGCCCTTTAAGAATCCTGAACCCCAGGAAATGGTTAAGTCATTCTCAGATCCCTGCACAGCAGTAACAGCTTCATCCGGGAGCTTGTTTGAAAGGCAGGCTTTCAGATCCCAGCCCAGCCACTGAGTCAGAAATGGAATGATGGGTCAGCCAGGAGCTCCAGAAAGATTCAGGGAAACAGCAGGGGCTGAGGGAAACTTCTGCAAGAGAGGAGAGTTGGCCTAAGTCTTAAATGTTGGGTGGAGGAGAACTCTCCAGAGAAGGCAAACCAGGTCTGGTGGGTGGGCATGCCTGTAACCTCAGCACTTTGGAGGCTAAGGCCGGAAAATTGCTGTGACTCTGAGACCAAACAGGGCTACATAGTGAGCTCAAGGCCGGCCTAGAACCCACAGCAAAACTCAGTCTCCGAAACATAAAACAGGATGGAGTGTATAAACCCAATCCGTAAGCACTGGAGAGAGGCGTGGGGGAGGAAACAAGGGAAGAACTATGGATAAACGCCGTTTGACTCAACAAGGTAGATAGTCCAGCTGTCGGAGTGAGGCCTCAAGCTGGGGACACAGCACAAACTGAGCTGGCCCACTGGGCTAGTGTCCCTGGACACCATGTCTTATTAATTAATTTCCCCTGAATATCTCCAGGGGCTTTGTGGAACTTGTCTTTAAAGACCAACCTTGGGCTCCCCCCTAAAAAATAATATGGCCCAAGCTAGAAATGCCCTCCCATCCCTAGGCTTCCTGAATTCACCCTCTCACAAAGTGGCAGACCTTAGTCCTAAATGACTGTGGAACCCCAGCCTCATTCCCTTCAGGTTTAAATTCATAAAACGCGAGGCTTTCACACAGGGTGTGATGGGCTCTGAACCAGGGCCAGCAGAGGCATCAGAATAACTGGAGGCCTTCCTGGCATGGTGCCCCCTCCACATACACACTGTGTGCCAAGACTGAGGCCCTGGACTGAGAAGAGTCCAAGGTGAGCTGGCTAGAGGCTTCAGGTCTGGAGAAGAGCGGACAGAATCCCAGCCTCCTGTGTCCTGCCCGGGGCTACCACTAGGAGGCTAATGAAAAGGGAAGATGCAGGCTGGGGTTGGACCAGCAGGAGACAGCAAAGGGACAATGTGAAGCAGGAGGGAAGTGGCCCCTCAGGCAGGGACAGACAATGTCCCCATATGGGAAGCAGACGGAGCCACCCCGCCCCCTCAGTCCTGGGGCTCTGTGCAGCAGGCAGTACTCTATCGCCTGAACCCTGAGCCTGGGTAGCTGTACCCCAGAAGCTGAGCTGTGCAGAACAAGTTGCAGGGTAAGAGCTCACTCAGTACACCAAAATTCTCACAATGGTATGGGGACAGAGAGCCAGGAGGGGGCAACCACACTGCTCTCATAAATGCACCCAATTAGGTGACTTTCTATGTTTTCTAGATTGTTTAGTATAGGCTCAAAGTGAAACACGATAATGATACACAGAAGGATGAAGGATGAATGTGAAGATCCCCTAGAGTGGACTAGCCTACCAACTTCAGTTTTTCTATAGACAATTATTTCTAATGCTTTAGCAGAAAGGCCACATCCATGGTGAACTCGTGATGAATTTGCCCCCAGTTGCAGGGGACTCAGCTGCCAGTCCACAGCAAGCACTGTTTGGGGCATAGCTTAGGCGGGTATCTGGGGTGACAGAGACTTCTGCACACATGCCTGCCACCCACCAGAGAAAGATCTATCGAGTGATCCCAGGTTTTGGATCATCTGTAGTGACTCTTTTGCTACGCGAGTTTATTATATAGAAGACATTTTGGAATCTTCATCGGCCTGTGTCCCTCCTGTATCAGCTGTTAGCTCAGCTTGTTTTTGCTCGAACACTATCTGCGGGAAGGGAGTATGAATATGATTTTTACAACTACACTGTGGCGTCAAGGGCTGGAACTTGGAGCAGAAGGTCCTGCCAGGCCATCCTGTATCTTCCCCATGGGAAAACACATCCGGGCTTCTGTTCCTCTCTGGGACAGGCCCAAAGGTGCCTCTGTGGGACAAGAGACCACTCGAGGTTCTTCCTTGGGGAATAATCTTGGCCCTACTATGTGTCAGACCCTTTGCCTGTGGCATCCGTCAGTTCTCATTAGGCTATGAGCCATGGGAAAACACTTCGGATTAGTTTAGGTACAGAATGGAATAGATAGAGAACTGGAAGGGATAGGGAACTTTGCAAGTGATCAGAACTAGGTTCAGAGATTCCAAGGAAGAAAGATCAGAGTTTCTGAGCCCCAGGGACATTCAGAGCAGGGCCTAAGTGGTTACCCAATGCTGTGTATCTGGGATTCACCTGCTGTCACTAAGGAAGCCTCAGCTCTCAGTGTCTTCCCGAAGAAGCCCAGAGATGGACATAGATTGGTCCCTACAGGTCAGCTGTATGTCAGAATCAGGAGACCCTAACAGGGTGGGGTAGGATCAGAAGACTCTCTCTGAGACCATTTGCTGATTTCCAAAAGATGACTCCATATTCCAGGGGCCTCTACCAGCAAGGTACCTTCTACAAGATGTCTAGGTTTTTAATCCTCACAAGTCTGCATGGTAAGAACTGTTAGCCTTAGGGGTTGGAGAGATGACTCAGTAGTTAAGGGCACTGGCTACTCTTCCAGAGGACCTAGGTTTGATTCCTAGCACTGACATGGCAGCTCACAAACAACTGTAAATGCAGTACCAGAGGAGGGGGTCCTATACCCTCTCCTGGCCCCTAAGAGCACCAGGCATACATGTGATACATAAAATAAATAAATAAATTTTAAAGAGTTATTACTCCTCACCCCACTGACAGATGTATTAACTGAGATTCAGGTCTCAGACCACTTAGCCCTAGAGCCTGGATCTAAAGCCAAGTATGTTTGGTGCCAAAGTCTGTGTCCTTGACATAGGTGGTGCGACCTCCTCAAGGGGAGGAGCACCCAGTGTGTCTAACTGACTAGGTACATGCCACACACTGCAAGCTCTGTGGGACTGTCAGAGACTGGTCACAGCAGGGTTATGCACGACAAGAAAGGTATTACAGAGGAATGTCCTCTCATCCTGTGATTGGTTGGGGAGGTGGCATCTGACCTGATCTTAGAAAAACAGCAAACACATCAAAGAGCTTGGCTAGAGCTTAGAATACAAGCAGGAAATGGATTGGAAATAATGACAAAAGAAGAAATTTGAGCTGAGCAGTGGTGATGCGCACCTTTAATCCCAGCACTTGGGAGGCAGAGACAGGTGAATCTCTGTGAATTGGAGCCTAGCCTAGTCTACAGAGCCAAGTCCCAAAAAGAAGGAGGAGGAGGAGAAGAGAGGAGGAGGAGGAGGAGGAGGAGGAGGAGGAGGAGGAGGAGGAGGAAGAAGAAGAAGAAGAAGAAGAAGAAGAAGAAGAAGAAGAAGAAGAAGAAGAAGAAGAAGAGATAAAATATAAAATTGCCAGAGATTAAAGGTAGAGGCTTGGGACCTCAGTCCAAGGGTAGTGCTGTGGGATGGTCTGTATGTCAAGTGTGTTGCTGATTGGTCAATAAATAAATCACTGAT